CACACACACACACACACGTGTTATCTTAATGCACACTCTCATATAAAGCACATATAATCTCCTGACACGTCTCTACTCTTCAGCACATATTAAAAACATACAACACACGAGTCTCGTTCTCTTTAACCACGTTTTCTTTTTAATTCAACAAATCAAATGATTAATCTGTAAGAGGCGAGAGTTCAGTTTTTAATGGGACGTCTGTTTTCATCTTGAGTTGCTTCGTAAGATTAAACTAAAACAGATTTACAGTGAACTCGGTGAAGGATGAGGTGTCAGAGAAAATATAGACTTATTTATATTTCTGTGTTTTCTCATGTTTATTTACATAATCACCTAATTTAAATCAAAATCAATTTAATGGAAATATAAAGAGTGTGTTTCTAGTGATTATCTGCTGGTGCTCCACGGAACGTTCTCAGATCCATGGGAACAGTCGTTCAGCAGCGTTCTGGAATGTTTCAGTTTTGTGGGAACTGAGCCCGTGGCCCAGAGCGATGATGATGAGGATGATGATGATGATGATGATGATGATGATATCGTCTGGTATAAGATAAACACAAATATGGCCACAACTCTGTGACACAGTTAGAGTCGCTGGGATTTTTTTTAAACTTCAGAAGTGCCTCTGAGCAGGATTCTGTGGCAGCCTGACTCCGAGAGTGTGTGTGTGTGTGTGTGTGTGTGTGTGTGTGTGTGTGTGTGTGTGTGTGTGTGTTTACACTGAGGACTCTCGCTCATTTAAAAAAAGTTTGTTGTGATAAAATGTAAATTAAAACGATGTGAAAGTAAATCAGAGAGGAGACGTTCAGCTTGTAACAGAACGGTGCTGAGGTTCGATGCCGAGCTCTGTATAATGAGCAGTGTTCTGCAGTGCAGCAGTGATGACAGTAATTAACTGATCTCATGATTGACACCTACAGTCCACACACAACAATGATGACAGAGTGAGACGGACATTTAACATCTTTAACTTTATGATCTGTGAAAACAAAGAAAACCTGGATCCAGTCTCTACGTGTCCCAGAACTCCTGATCAGTTTCCATGACAACCAGTCGGCTTTATCTCACCGAGACGTTTGGAAAGTTTCTGTCTGTGGGAACGGAAAATATCCAGCGAGCCGTTTCTCTCAGCAGAGGACGACCAGCGGCTGCATGTTCCCGATCCAGAAGAGCTGGATATTAGGTTCTACACATTCCTCTGGGGGGATTGAACCAACAACCCGTACAGCACGAGGACTCCACCGACTCCACGGTTTTACATACACGTTGTTTTCTTGATTATATTTTCAAACACATGAGAGTTGAGCTCATATGAACCATGAAAAAAAAAAAAAAAAAAAAAAAAAAAAAAAAAAAAAAAAAAAAAAAAAAAAAAAAAAAAGACGAGAATCAGGTGAAAATGAACTGATGATTGAGTTCATTAGTATTTAACGGGTGAGCAGACTTTAAATATGAGAAT